ATACAACGTGGCTAAACAAGGATTCTGAGGGTAAAAATACAACGGGGCTAGACTAGGCTTCTGAGTGTAAAAATACAACGTGGATAGACCAGGCTTCTGAGTGTAAAAATACAGTGTGGCTAGACCAGGCTTCTGAGTGTAAAATTACAACGTGGCTAGACCAGGCTTCTGAGTTTAAAAATACAACGTGGCTAGACAAGGCTTCTGAGTGTAAAAATACAACGTGGATAGACCAGGATTCTGAGTGTAAAAATACAATGTGGCTAGACCCGGCTTCTGAGTGTAAAAATACAACGTGGCTAGAACAAGATTCTGAGTGTAAAAATACATGGCTAGAGGCTCTCTCTCAAAAAGGCATGATATTTGTTAAGTTAAGCATCCCCGTACCACTTCCAAAAACTATATATTTTGCGAAAAAGTAATAAAGACAAAACAAACAAAACTCAATCAGAAACAGGATTCTGAGTGTAAAAATACAACGTGGCTAAACAAGGATTCTGAGGGTAAAAATACAACGGGGCTAGACTAGGCTTCTGAGTGTAAAAATACAACATGGCTAGTCCAGGCTTCTGAGTGTAAAAATACAACGTAGCTAGACCAGGCTTCTGAGTGTAAAAATACAACATGGCTATAGACCAGGATTCTGAGTGTAAAAATACAACGCGGCTAGACCAGGCTTCTGAGTGTAAAAATACAACATGGCTAGACCAAGATTCTGAGTGTAAAAATACAACATTTCTATAGACCAGGATTCTGAGTGTAAAAATACAACGTGGCTAGACCAAGATTCTGAGTGTAAAAATACATGGCTAGACCAGGCTTAGAACACTTGACTTTAAATATCTATACTATCACTCTAACCGAATGAGCTTCCTGGTCAACAGAAGTGTACTGGCACAACTGTGCTACAGATATATCCAAAATGAAATTAAGGGGAGGTAACTGAATATAAGAAAACCCTTTGAGACAGGGATCCTTAATACTTTACTGTAATGTTTTTGGGAATAATTTCATAATGTTCTAACTCCCTAAAAGGGTCTGCAGCCAATATATATCTTTGTTGGAATAAAGAGGAAATAATATTTAGACTTAAAAAAAAAAGGAGAATTTTTTAAGGCCTCTTAATGCAGTACAAAAGTGATGAAATTTCCAACCTTAATTAACCACCTTAAACTCATTCAACCCTGAAGTTTCATAATGAACTATTCCAACCTTTGAATTGGAAGAGTTCAAATGTGTTTTCAGGGGTGAATGAGTTAAACCCCTGCTGTACATACATTGTGGTATATTTATAAGATACTGTTTGGTTCCATTTTTTTTGATTGTGTGTGCGTGACCAGTATTTTTTCACAATTTTAATTATATGTAACTTATACAAGGGAGAATGAGACCCAATGTCGCTAGTGGATGTTCAGTTAAGTTCTGCATACCCCAGTTGATGGATTCTAAATGGAATTCTCTAGTCTTCGGCCATGAGAGTAATCAAAGTTCAAAAGAAGAGATGACCAGACAACACCAATGGGGAGTCTCTGCAAATCTAATCCAATTATGTAAATTGGTAACTTAAAATTTTATGTAGAGTTTGAAGAAAAAAAATGTAAGTTGAGCTTATAAATAAAATATCTATAACTACAATTTGAACAACAGAATTCAATCAATAAAATGTGATCAGAAAATATGAAATGCTTTACCTGTTTTGAACCAGTAGACAATATTTGAAGATGAAACAGTCAAATATTTCACAGAAACCAATATCCACTTGAATATGACACACACCGTTAACACTACGAAGGAATTAGCTGTGCTGGTTGACGTACGTCACGCATGGAAATTTACATCCGTTACCTTACAAATCATACCAGGTTTTCTCGTTATAAATATATATTTAACAAGTTATTCTCCATGGAAAACGGAAAAAAATCCGTCCATACCAGAACTTTTTACAAATATGAAGTTTTTATCGTGCAAGTTCGTAAAAATGTCGTCAGTGTTGCCACGTTCCTGTTAATATATATATAAGGTCATGGATTTTTTATCAATGGTTTCCAGAGTTTTCATGAAAATTTAATTATTGTCGTCATGGTTACGAATTCCCTCCATTGAAATTCTTGGATGACTGCATTATTGGCAGACAATACTGTGACACAAGTGACTGAGCGTTTCAACCTGTGGCTATAATTCTATAGGTCTCTCAGGGGGGAAACAGTTTGACAAAGCCAGCACCTTAATTAAACCACCCTACTTCCGTAGTAGTGGTTTACCCTAAGGATTGGTCAATGACACAGTTGGTAATTTCCATTAATAGCAATTACGGAAAAACAATCCTTCGGTTCATTCAGGTAAACTCCTATTATCTGATATGTAGAATCTAACAGACACTCAGAATGATGAAAATGGGTGCATTGTCACCTTTTATTATTATAACAGGATATAAGCACACAGTAGATATTATACATAATTTAAGGAAACAATGCACTTTAAAAGTGTGTCGGTATGTTTCTCTTTCACGCATGATGAATTAAACAATTATAGAGTACGTGCCTAACATTTCATCCTTTGGTACTGCCAGCTAACAGAAGTCATAGGCCATATACATGTCAATAGGTACAGAATTACCTGCCCAAGGAGACCACCCTGATTCAGGCAGTCGGAGTCCCACCACTTTTCTCCTGTATACAGGGCATGAAAAGTTATTTTTCTGCTGTTATTATTTACTATATCCATAAAAAGACAATTAAAGGATGCAGGCCTATTCAGGAAATTTTGATGAAATTATTCCCAATTCTAATGTGACAATTAGAGCAATGGATAAGCTTCCTGAGTTTAACCATTGATGATCAAGAGAATAGTCAGCTGGAGTTAAACCCTATAGGGGGATTTATTTTTTTGTGGGAAAGAAAATTACAATTGTAACAGGAAAGAGAATAGTGTACTAGCTTCCACTGGGGATCAAACTCGCAATCCCAGACTTCCTAGTCGGACGCTCTATATCAGTGACCACTCAGCTAAAGGGAAATTCTCTTTAGCCCGAAGCCAGTAGACGACCGTAATCCTATGTACAAATAAAATCTGCCACATATAAATATATTTCTTTTGTGTATGATTAAATTATTAAAGCGAACAGCAGAAAAACAGAAAAAAAGCCAAACAAATTCAAAGAATTATTTTTCATTGAAGATACAAAACGGAAAAATCCCTTTGCCTTGATCAGTAGAGAACTTGAATAGAAATGTAGGGTCCTTGGGCTTTGACTCTTAGTGAAGGTTCTAAAAGGTGACCTCGAATACATTTGTACTTTATGCCAAAGCAGAGAGGAAGCGAGAACGTGCATATTTTAGTCCGGCTATTTACCTTCTCATTTCCAGCATGTCATCCGCGGCTATTTTTGTGGGACAATCAATTATGTAAGAAAGCATTCTTAAAGACCATGAAATACCAGCATACACACCCAATGTAACTAATGTTTGTAAAAAAAATTGTAAAGACTCTCTCAGAAAAGAGGAGGCTCACGCACTGACAGTTTGACAGCATATAATTGAATGGTCTGACTTTCCTTGTCCGTTATTTACACAGAAACTCTGTATCTAGAACACATTCATACACAGCTTGACTGATGTACATAGAATCAATAGGCACGTTGGCCTTAGCGGCCATCTCACTTCATTAGGAATTAAAACATGTTTGATAAATGCAGTCCATATTTAATGAAAATGCAAAAAAATGAGCAATTATGCTAATGTCAGCTGAGTTTCTGGATTTAATTTTTAAAACCCTGACTCAAATACCCCGATACTAAGAACACCTGACCAATGGAACCCCAGCACTCTATTGAGCCCTGCCCCTCGGCCTCCTGGAGGGCAACACCCTATACCCTTCATAGGTATTACAACATTTGATTCCCTGTTTTCAAGGATGCTTCTTGATGTACTGTATAGTTTTTAATATTCACGAGGGTTTTGATTTCAAACATTTGGCAAATGCGTTAAAATTCACGAAAATTAAAACCCACGATCCTGAATATTTTGAGACCGTTGCCATAACAACCGGTCTTCACATGTCTAAGATATCCGTTGAGCTGCGGCTACTAGGTCAAAACATTGTTTTAAAAGAACTACACTATATATTTATAAAAAAGTTAACAGTTTGAATAAAAGATAAATAAATAAAAAGTCTGACTAACAGAAATTGTGATTCATAAAATTAAACCCCCATGAACAAGTTCTGGATACAAAATCGCGAAATTTTATTGAACTGAATTCAACAGGTAGAATTTGAAAAGAAGTTAAAAAAAAAATATTGATGATTGAAAATTAATTTTGCACAAGATTCATAGCTTTCTTAAAAATTAAAAAAAAACAACACCTCCCCTTGGGTAATGGTGGTGCTTAAATCTATGAGCTTAAGTCTAAGAAAGGCTGAGCATTTTTCGGCAGGATGCGGCTATTATTTCACCTGCATGCATTGTGACATAGGGAATGGACCTTTGTGAGGAGACCTAGGGGGAAAAGGAAGGAAGGAGAATGAACCTGGTTCATTTAAGACTCGGAGAAAACAGACAATATGGTGGCCTGGAAAATATAAACTTATTGTAAATTTAGTGCCCAGAGCATCTTATAACCAAATAATAATAATAATATTAATACTCTGAGGTTCTTATTTACCCCTTTATTGCAACCTAGTTCGTAGGTCGTCTCAAAGCGGTTCACAAATTAGTATCTGTGGTTATAGGGCCTTTGCAACCAGCCAATATCTTTCTCAACTCCCGTGGGAGCATTATACAGCCGGTGCTGCCATTTCGGCGCTCACAGATAGCATTCAACAATTCTAGCACTGCCCAACCACGTACTCATTTACAGCTGAGTAGACTGGAGCAAGGGAGCAAAGTATCTTGCTCAAAGATACAACACAGTGCCGTGCCGTGACTTGAACTCACAACCCTTCAGTCACTAGCCCGGCTTCCTTCTGCTAGACTACCGTGCTTCTATAAAATCATTGCTCACCTTGCTTTCATCCACGCCGAATCCTCCATCCAGAATTTTGAGTAACCTGTTGAGTTTTTCTCGTTCATATCCGGTCGGAGTGAGACCAAGTTTATTGGTATCCTTGGAACTACTAGCACCATTCATCTCGATATCCATGTCTGCTTTCGCCATTTTGCAGTCTTAGAACACAGTCTATTTAAGGCACTTCACAGATAGTATTTTGGCATCAGGGAATTAGCGGGTTATAACATCTTACGGCTGCTGCATCTGGAATAAAAATATAGAATTATATCAATATTTATGATATATATGAAGTTTGTGCTGGTAATATAGAGGAAATCGGTCAGGTGGCGCAGTGGATGACACACTCGCCTTTCACCAAGGTGGCCGGGGTTTGATTCCCCGATCGGACATGAAAAGGTATTGGGTCACCTGCCAGACCACGTGGGTTACTCCTGTTACTGCCAACATAAAGACCTTCTGTGCAAATTAACTTTCATCCGGGCCAACAAGAGTGATTGAAAGACACGTGACATACACTGATGTGCAATATTTGGTCACTAATTATAATTTTATAATATATTCTAAATATTTTCATTGTTTTTAATTAATCATTCTTGTTTGATTTCTCAATCAAACAACACATAATTATATTACATGAATGAAAGGCATATCTAAAAAAATTGACAATATTTCAATAAATTTCCACATCCTACTTCCAAGGACACCAGTTTAGCCTGCAGTCAAATTTCAGTGAAACTATTTTGCACTTTTTCCTGTGTATATGGGAAAATTTCAAAAGTTCAATTTAGAATTTAAGATTTAATGCGAAAAAAAAAATTGCATTATTTTCGGGAATGGTGGAAGGACTTTTCACTCATTTTTTTTATTTTGCTTTTTTATTGGAAAGAGGGGTAGGGGGAGGCATGGAAGAAAATTTCTGAAGGTTGAATCTGAGCAATCTTCCATTTACTTACCTGAACCCCTAATTATAACATAAGAGGCTACTGGTTGGCTATTTTATCAGTTTTGAAATATGCCCAAGGTGCCTGTAAAAAGCATCGCCATGCCAAACTATTAACATAGTTTCAGAGAATATTGCCCTTTTTGCCACAGTACCGTGGTTTTTTTTAAAAACAACACTTTATACTTACTTTAAAACAATTATGAAACTTTTTTTTTCAAACTTGTATTCGCAATATTGCTGGACCAGATTTAAGCTTGCTCAGGGTCTTATTTAGCCCAAGTTTACTCTGGCCCTGACACCAGACTTAGACATTTTGAGAGATGAAACCCACATCAGACATTTATCTGTCAAAATGTAGAAGTCTGGTGTCAGAGCCAGAGGAAACTCGGGCTAGGTCTTCAATTGTCAGCAGGAAACTGGACTTACTCCGGAGAAACTTAATTATGTGGTCGGAAAGAAGACGAACCAAAACCTAGTTCTCATGTTCAATCTGGGAATTAAACATCAGCAATCTTGGTGTAAGGTGACTGCACTATCAACTCTGCCACCCGACCAGTAAGTTGACTTATATTAAAATATGTAGTCCTTCCTCCTTTTTCTTTAAAAAGAAAATCTTCACTCCAGAAAACATTGCTAACTATTTACAGTCCAGGTTTGGGTATCTCCTTGCCAGGCACTGACACCAAGAACTTGAAACAAGGGTTGGTCACAGGCACCAAATTTGTAATTACACTGTATGGGAAAGATATAATTGTACAGCTAGACTGGAATTTGAACCAGGTACACTGATCCGAACTCCAGACAGACGCTCTACTATTAAGCTATACCTAGCTGTTCGACAATAATCGACCCAGTCCAGGCTCCGCTACAACTGATTTTTTGGGTGGGCACAATTTTTAAATGTCATACACGGTAGACTCATACCGTCCATGAATACTCTATAGCACAGCAAAAAATATATTTTCATTTCCTATTAAATATATACTTTGTTTACATTGATTAAGAAATGAAATTGAGGAATATATATAGTCATTGACCAAAACAAGTAAATAATACACAAAAGATATGATAAAATTTGTGATCGAGTACTTTAAAAAATAATTCACAGCGCATCACTGTTTTCAGTCTGGGGGAATGGGGTGGTTCAAAATCGTAAAATTTGGAAAATACATACATGTTATCATAGGGAGGATGGGATTTCCTGAACACCAGGAAACCCCTAAGGATCCCCACGGTTATTGGATTAAGTTGCAGATTGTCAGACAGTCTATTGCCAATTCATTTAACTTAACAGAATGCAATCGTTCCAATATTTGACCGTTTACTTTTGGCAAAGATTCTAAAATCAGCTGTGCTGATATTATCAGTGCGCCTCCATTTAACCAGAAGTTGTTCTGTCAGACAAATCTTTCTACGGTATACCTATTGTTAATATTTACTTCCAAATCTTAAGTGTTCGTGGTAATCGCGACTTTTTATCAATATTTAGATGTCGTTTGTCATATCTGCCCAAAGTATAAGTTGACTTTTAAAATTTGTTTATAAAAAGAAGATGGCATTTCGCTTAAACCACATAAATGGAAGGCTGCCGCTAAAAATATTAACGAGAGTTATAACATTTAACAAGAGTTGAACACGAATCGTAACTGTTTTAGAGTGATTTTGTCTTACCTTATGGGAAGTGTGTCCCCTTATGACACGAATCTGGCATTGTTGGCGCTTGTCAAACCCTCCTTAAGGAGGTGGAGCTCCGAGCAAGCACCTGTTAAATCCACCCATAATGCCGTGTAATTTACGGTAACCAAAGACGCCAAATGAAGGGAAATAACCCTCATGTGAATATAACACTTTCACTAAAAAAATAACCAAGCTGCATTGCAAAATTATAAAGATATACATTTGAATGAAGGTAAGTAACAACTGAATTAAAAAATTAGCGATTTTATTTAGAAAGTTACATGTAATTGAACTTTTATATAAATTTATATCTAAATACATAAAATTAAAATTAAAATTGAATTAAAATATTATATTTGTATTAAAAACAGAAAAATTCTAATTTTTAGATTTAAATTAAATATCGTTTAGCTCCATCACTCTAAATATCTAGCTTACCGATCTTCACCACTCTAAAAAGATCTACCTAACTCACCTTTGCCATTCTAGAAAATTAACTATTTTGAGATTCAATAAAAATGTTCAAACAACCTGACTAAACGATATATCGGATATTATCCATCTATATTTGTTTATCGAAATATTAGTACCTCGATCTCTATACCTCTTCTTCCTCTGTCAAAGTACAGTCATCCTAGTGGAGTATCAAGTCATTCATTTTCACAAGTATGCATCTTTACACTACACAGTATAGATATGAAATATATATAGTTGAATTCAGCCAAAAAAGTTTAACTCCTAGAACTGTTACATAAAGAATAAAGCAATTATTAGTTTATCCTATCTATTGACGCGCCTTTTTTGTTTTAACTCGTTGTCAAGAAACGTTTGACTTCATTAATGTTCTTGTTTTACTATCGACCACAAAAATTCTCCCAAAAATCTCCTTGCTTTTCTTCCTCTGTAGGGAGTGCCGTCATTTAATAGGATTTAATAGGAAATACAATGGACGCAGGCATTATAGGTGACTCTATATCAATATCTTATAACAATACAATAAAAATCTCAGACGTTACGTGTCATCGTAGAAGTTGTCATGATCACGTACACATTGAGTGTATCTCCTCTCAGGCTATGGCATGTTAGGGATGGAAATCCTGATCTGTTTTCAGCCCAGGTATCAGTTTTGTTGCTCTGCGCTACCGATATATTACATGTCTTTTGTTTTGCGTGGGTTCCACACACTTGCTGCGTATTCCAAGTGTGGCCTGACCAATGCCTTGAAAAGCTGTTTAAATGTTATTTCATCTATATGTATGAAGGATATTCTGATAAGCCCATGTATATACTGTTTGCCTTTGTTGACTGTTTGTTGTATATGTGAGGAAAAACCGAGATCTTCGTCCACCATTACTCCTATAACCTTTTCTGATGAAATTTTTCTCCAGCTTAATTTTATCTTCTCCCGCTCCTGCCATGAAATAATTTCTTGTCGCCTTTCCTTTTATTGCAAGTAATTTGCAGTTTTGAGAGTGAAATTTTAAAAGCCATGTTTTAGACCAGGCTTGCAGATTATCCAAATCATGTTGTAGCGCTTCTCTATCTTTATCGTTTTTTATTTCCCTGTAAATGTTTGTGTCGTGGGGAAACAAAAAGGTTCTTAGTGGGTCCTTTATATAAATTACAAACAGTACTGGACCTAAGACACTTCCCTGACGGATTCCACTGACTACCAGATGTTCTTTCGATGATTTTACATCAACCAATACACGGTGTTTCCTTTGGGTTAGAAAATTCTCTACCCAAATGACAACCTGGTTACGTACACCATAACTCCTGAGCTACCCAATTAATCATTGATGCAGTACCTAGTCGAAGGCTTTCATAAAATCCATGTAAGTGATATATATCTCGCCTCCTCGATTCAATACTTCTGTCCAATCCTCGAACACCATTAAAAGTTACAGTACCGAAGATCTTTTGTCGATGAATCCAAATTGACAGATTGTTTTCCTCCATATGTTTGACAATAGAATCTCGCACTATCCTTTCAAGAGTTTTCCCCACAATACTGGTAAGTCTTACTGGTCGATAATTCCCTGGATCTGATTTGGATCCCTTTTTAAATATAGCTGTTATGTTCCCTTCCTTCCATGTCGTTGGTACTATACTATCATGTACTGATCTGCTGAAAATGATACTAAGAGGTTTGCTTATAACGAAATGAAGTTCTTTCATAACCTTGGGATGCATCTGGTCTGGACCTTGTGATTTGCTGGCATCAAGCTTTGTCAGCAGTGTACCTGTACTTTCTTATGTGCAGTGTATTTCTTCAAATGCTTGGTATTCCTCCTGGTGGTTTCTTCGTAAATACACTTTTTAAAAAACTGTCCAACACGTGCGCTGTATCCTTGCCATTTACGACTCATCTCCGTTAAAGCCATATCTTGATGTTGTAAAGCCCGGCTTTTGAGAAAAGTAGCCTCCGTTTGCACGCTTATCTCAGTCTTTTGAACTTCTCCGGTCTGGAAATGAAATATGTATATAGAGATTTAAAAAATTAAATATACAAACAAATGTATTTATATATATGTCGATTCGATTGTATAGGCCATGTGTACTACTGCTGAACGATCGGCACTTACAAACTTGATTGAAACGAAGAGAGATAACTCTTCCTTTCCCCCCTCAGTCCGTCGTACAGTGATCATGACTGGTCGGGTTTCTTCAATGGAAAACCCGAAAACGTTATCCGCCTTATATTTTATTTAAATCTAACTGCTGATGTACCTCAATCAGTATGTATTTTATATATGATATAATACAACCAATCTATGAACATTTCGTTACTTATTATGTTGTTTTAAGATCTCGATAGGATTTTTTTTCACAATTTATTTTCCTTGATTTCTTTTATTTTTCCGTCGACTCTTTCTAATCAAACAGACAACATGATTTGGTTGATGCATACAAAATTATATACTCATACTTTTATGTTAAAGAAATTTAGTTTTTTTCAAGAAAATAGGAACACACAGCAGCGTGAATGTAATAATGTATTTACCATTTGTATACTCGACGTTGCATACTCGACTGAAGAGAAAATTAGATCACTCCGCTGAGCGAGCACTTCCTCAACTCCTGTATTTCTCGGTGGTTGAAAAAGTGGACTCTGTAAAGTAAAAATCATCAACAAAACGACACAAATGGATACTAAGGAAAACTTTGGTTAAAGTGACCATTTATTAAGTTTTTCCAAATCTCTGTTTTACACACCTTTCAATTTCAGCATAAGAAGACGAAGAATACACCAAAGGTACTATTCAAATTATCAACAATATCATTTATATATATCTAAAAAGATAACAGAGGACCTAGCACACTTCCCTGTGGACCACCAGCATTTGTGTAACCTATATTAGAATACTCATCTTTAACGAGAACCTGTTTTGTCTGTTTGAAATGTGATTTTTTTTAAACAATGTAGTAAACCACCTCTAATGCAATTTATGTAAAAGACACCCATGCCAAACTCAGTCAAAAGCCTTCCGCGATATATTGCAAAATATTAGACAAATGTGTTTTTCCCCTCTAATGAACATGGTATATAACGGTCAATTTCTATTAACTAGTGAACAACGGAATGATGAATCGTAAAACCAGATTGCTATTCGTAAAATAAAGAATGATCAAGGATAAAATTATAGATGTTTTTAAATACAACTCTTCCAAATACCTTACCTATACAAGACAACAGAATTTTCAAAATATCACATATGTCATAATTTTCAACTACAATAGAATAAAGTACAAAATCTGGATTTTTGGAATCTTTGGGTAAAGATTTGCCAATAGCATATATGTTTGCCATAGAGCTAAAATAATTATTTAGAATATATGCTTTCCGATCATTGTCATATTCAATATTTCCATTACAGGGGTTAACTAGTGTTGGAATAGCCTCCTGAGAACCCGACTGTTGAGACACGATGGTCAAATAAACACTGTGCACTTATGTGTAACCGTACATATAATTCAGGACGACACAAACAGTTAAGTACCTCGGTCCTGTACACAGTGTTTCTTCATGACGATAAAATCATTTTAACTTTTCAATTTTCTCTGTATACTACATTTTTATCAGATATTTATCATATATGGTCATATATTGACACGTGAGGAGCTTACAATAATAATAATAATAATAATATACAACATTTATATAGCGCCCTATATAATTTGGAAAATTACTCTAAGGCGCTTTACAACATATGGATAATAGTAATGGTTATAATTGTGAAAACAAACATCAAAGGCTTGCAATCACTTTCATGTATTTAACAAGCAATGTGCACATATACATGACATCTTTGCAAAGATTCTAAAATGCAGACGTGAAGAGGTGAGTTTTTATGTCCCTCTTGAACTTGGCCAGGGTATTCGACTTCCTAATAGCAGATGGTAAGCTATTCCACAACATAGCCGAAACCCTCCCAAAGCATCTGTTTCCGTAAGGTCACAGTACGAGATTTTGGGACACACAACAAAGATTCTGACTCCGACCGCAGTGATCTTGACGGCTGATACAGGGTAACAAGCTCCTGTAGGTCCTGAGGAGCTGTTCCATTCAGTGCCTTGTATGTGAACACCAGAATTTTGTACTGCGACTTGTATCGCACGGGTAACCAGTGCAACGAATAGGGCACAGGTGTGATGTGCTCTCTCTTTCGAGTACGAGTAACTAGCCGTGCTACAGTGTTCTGGACCCTCTGCAGACGACTAGTTAGTTTGTCAGATATACCACAGAGCAGGGCGTTACCATAATCCAACCGAGAGGTAACAAGTGAATGCACCAAAATCTTGCATGCACCTGCAGTTAGAAACTGCCGAATACAGCCGATGTTCCTGATCTGGTANACCTTGAGCTGGAGAGCCATTGTTTGCTAACACTTTGGGGAAAAGACGATTAGTTCCGTCTTTTCCTGATTAAGTTTAAGCATGTTGGCGTTCATCCAGATACTGATATCTGTCAGACAAGCTTCCAGACTTTCTGAGACTGTATTCCAACTGTCCTGTGGTTTTATGACCATGCACATTTGTGTGTCATCGGCATAGCAATGACTTCATAGTACTAGTAGAATTGTACCGTGTACATAACTGTATCATGTCTTGG